AACCCATTATAAGTATCTACATATAACCTCCTCCCTGGGGCACAGAAACCAGAAAAGTGCGTGAAGAGAGACGTCGGACAGTGTAAGATGTGACAAAATAATAATTTATAAATTATCAAGGGTTCATGAGGGAGGGGAAAAATGAGCTGATGCCGGGGGCTTCCATGGAGAGCAACTGTTTTGAGAATGATGAGGGTAATGAATGTACAAATGTGCTTTATACACTTGATGTATGCATGGATTGTGATAAGAGGTGTATGAGCCCCCAATGAAATGATTTTTTTTTTTTAATGGCTACATCTAAGTTAACTACTGCATTATGGTTACATTGGGGTTAATTGGGGTTACTGCAGTCTTTGTCTTGTGCTCAGCCAGTGTCCTGAGTACCAACTAGCTTTGCTTAACTAATCCATTGCCACTGAATACTTTCACGGACCTCTTGAAGCTTTATGAACTTATTTTTGTATTAGTGCAGAATATTCAAATCACAGTTATGCCTCACACCTAAGCATTCAATTTCCTGCATGAAGTCCGTGAAGGTGCTTAGCCTTAGAACAGTGGTTCTCAGCCTTCCTAATGCCGCGACCCTTTAATAATACAGTTCCTCTTGTTGTGGTGGCTCCCCAACCATAACATTATTTTCGTTGCTTCTTCCTCACTGGTCATTTTGAGTCGTTATGTAAATATCTGATACGCAGGATGTATTTTCATTGTTACAAATTGATCATAATTAAAGCATAGTGATTAATTACAAAAACAATATGTAATTATATATTGTGAAATACTTATTTCTAATTACAGATAAGTGAAATTTTGTCATGAAGCACAGTGTAGCATGGGTAAAAATCTTCACACCGGGTACTCGTCTGTAGGCATAACTGCATGTGGGCGGACCCGCCTGGAGACGGATAGAGGAGCGGTGTCTCAGTTCCTAAGGCCTTCGGAAATATGTGTTTTCTGATGGTGTTAGGCGACCTCTGTCAAAGGGTCGTTTGAACCCCCCCATGGGGTCACAACCCACAGGTTGAGAACCGCTACCTTAGAGGGTTTGAACCTGTGCTTTGCAGGATAAGGAGCCATATTTTGGAGGCAACACACTGTAGAAGTTAGAAAGAGTATGTCTTTTGAAGGGTCTTGATCCCTGCGACCTTACTTGTAATGGTGCAGAAGAAACGTTGATAAGATAGTAAGAATATCATATAATATATTTAGAGAAAGGGAAGTAAGACCATTGGGGCAAAATGCTTATAAAAGATGTCGCTAGGTGAAAGTTACATTGTAATACTGCAACATTTTTGTAGGATTTTAATTGTAAAAACTGTTGCTGTTTAAAGAAAATAAGTGCATTCTGTAAGTCAGATTTCCTAAATTCAAATCTCATCTCTGCTTCTTGCTATGAACTAAGTGTACTTGGAACCAGATGTGACCATTCGTTGTACATTCGTTTTGTCGTCTGTAATTTGGGGTTGCTAGTATCCAACTCCCAGAACTGTTGTGTGGATTAAAGTAGCTCATATATGTAAGCCTTAGAACAGTGTCTGTACATTCAACATTCAGTATATAGTCGGCGTTGTCATTATTAACTTTTAGGTTTATTAACGTAAGAGCTGCTTTTATTTTTTTATGGGGCAAGAAAACCCCAAGATGACATGTAAAAGTTATCACAGTTGCTTAGTGTTGTTTTAGCAGAGTTGGCCAGCTAATCAAACAAGACTACAAAATCAGATGGGGAAAAAAAAAAATCAGATGAAACAAAATTCTTTGCAGGTAAATAATTGTATACCAAGAATATTTAAGAATCGGTATTAGAATGAAATCAGAGTTTAGAAAGTAAGCTGATTATACAGTAAATATTTTAGAGAGTTGGGCGTTTTGTAGCTGTTTTGAAGAAAAAAATCATAGAAAAATGTTACAGATTAATGTTGACACAAATGTTGGCGTATTGTTAAGCTGGACATGAGTGAAGGACCTCAAAGAACTCATTTATCATGAACGTGGGTGTTTTAGGAAAAATCTGGAGAGAACTTCCATGTAGCAGATGGAACGAGAAAGCTCATCCGCAGTCAGATTTGCTCTCAAAAGAAAGGAAATATTGAATTAGGAAAAGGGGGAGGTTGCTTTTCAACCCTTGGATTTAGGCTATACAGGGGGCAGTTAATGGTCTATCTGCATTTCAATATTTTGAGGATATTATTATAATATAACTTGTATGCTGATTTGA